GCTGCAAGCTCCACCTCCTCCAGAGACGGACTTTTCAGCTTGGACTTGTCGGCTTCTATACGCTTCTGAGCCATTTACCTAAGATAAATCTCTCTCTCTCTCTAAATATATATATATACCTTGCTGGGGTTTTTTTTTTTTGTGTTTCTCTAGAGAACCCAATCTAACACACATTATGAGGAAGCTATTGTTATTATCCCCATTTTATAGATAAAACAATCAGAGCACAGGTAGGTTGTATGACTTCCTCAAAGTCATAGATCTAGTGTGTGTTGGGACTAGGATTTGAACCCCAGTTTAGCTCCAGAACCTAAGTTTTTTCCAGTATATTATCATTGCCTCTTTAGAACAGAACCCACTATTGCAGTCAATGAATTTTAATTAAGGTATTGTGTATGACACTCTTTTCTTTAAATTACATTTTTTCCTATTGGGCACTTTGTATAGGTCATATATTATAAAGACATACCTGTACTATGAGTATATAGTAGAATTTCAGATTTGCAGAATGTATATAAAGTTTGAATTTGTAGAAACCTAAAGGAATGGAATTTATTCTCCCAGCTATCATTTTCAAGGGCCAGGACTGATTTCTTATGGAAATAGGAACCTGATCCTTTCATTAATACTGGTACAACCTTGCTAAAGTGTAGTATGATAGCCTAATTATTATTATTATTTTAAAATTATTTATTTATTTGCAATGTTTCCTCCCTTCCCCTCCCACCCCAGTAACCAACAAAGAAAATTACCTTCCATATATAAACCTTTCCCTGACTTTTTACAGTAATGAACTAATACAATATTTGTCCTTCTGTGATTGACTTTTATTTCACTCAGCATAATGTCCTCCATGTTCATCTGTGTTATGTAGTGGTTTGCAGACTCTATGCTATTCTTTAGTATAATATTACATTGTATGTATGTACCATAGTTTGCTTATCTATTTTTCTGTTGAAGGCACCTAGGTTGTTTCCATCTTTTTGCTCCTAATACCATTACTGCTTTGCTCCTTACTAAGGCATGTGTTAGACTGGGTTCTCTAGAGAAGCAAAACCAGTAAAGCTTATATATACATATAGAGAAAGTGAAATTTTTCTTAGGAAAATTGCTCACGCACTTACAGAAGCTGGCAAGTTCCAGCTTGGATCAAACGTCAAACTGGAGGCTTTTCTTGACTCACACGGCAGCAGGGGCTGATGAGCTTAAGTTTGGCAGGCAGTACACTGGCTATTGACTCTAACGAATGATAAATCTAAGATCTCCAGGCTGAATGGCAGATTGTTTGCTCACGGACAATTGTAGGCAGCACAACAGAATCCTGACCCACAGAAGAGTGTCTCTTCCCAGGATGTCCATAAATATATTGGAAGTAGGCCACACCCCTAGGGAAACTCCCTTTCAACAGATTGGCTGCTCAGAACATATACATCCGATCCCATCATGGGAATAACTCACATCACAATTGCTTAAACCACACAGAATTGTGGTCCAGCCAAGTTGACACACAACTCTAACTATCACAAGGTATGAGAATGAAAGATGTTGGGCTAACCTTTCAGGCTCCTATCTTACACCATCTGAGGCATAACACTAATTGTTTGTTTTAGGTGGCACTGATATTAAAAAAGTATAGAAACAGTGAAAGGCATGATGGTTATATCATCCTTTTTCTAAATGTTTTCCTCCTTAATGTCACCATTTTTGAAGCTGGAAGAATTGACTCAGTGACAGTTATAATAAGGTGCTAAGAAGCTACAGAAATAATGGTAGTTGACATTTACAAAAGTGCATACTATATTAAGCATACTACATGAATTGGCTCATTTAATCATCTCAATAACTCTATGAGGTGCAGATACTGTTACAAGTGTTTTACAGATGGAGAAATGGAAACCTAGAGAGGTTAAGTAACTTGTGCACAGTCACACAGGTAGAAAATGTTGGAAGGAGGATTTCAGTCCAAACTGGCTATAGAACTGTCACTCTTCACAGCTTTATAGAGTAATGGCAACACTGGCATTGGAGGGTAAGACAGTGAAAATTAAACTTAATCTACCAAATTTTACAATTTGGCCAAATTTCCTAAGGCACAATTCTTTCCACTCCCTCTAAAAATCATCAAGTTGATTCCAACTCATAGCAACCCCTTTTGGGATTCTGAGGCAGTAAATCTTTATAGAAGTAGATTGCCCAGTCTTTCTTCCACAGAGTGGCTGGTGGTTTTAACTGCCAGCCTTCTGGTTAGCAGTCAAATGCCTTAAGCACTATGCCACCAGATTTGTGAACTCTCAGTTGCTTAATATATTTTGTTCCTGCAAATTTATTTGAATATTTGACAGATTTACCACAATAATCTTACCCATTCTACTTTGTTGAACATCTGCCATGTGTCAGATACTGGGAAGGATATTGGTGGCAGGGAATGAGTAGAACATATATTCCCTTGCCCTTGAGGATTCTGTAGTATTCTAACAACAACATAAATGATTGCTTTTTGTTTCTTAATTATTAATTAAAATAAATACATTAACTTTCTGAAAAGATATTCATGGTAAACAAAAAAGTATAAAGAGTATGTAGTGAAAAGTAGGTCTTTTTCCCACCCTTTTCCTCTAGCCCCTCAGTTATGTCTCCCTAGAGACAACAACTGTTAACTTGTTTCTTACAATAACCTTTCATTATATGGTCCATGCTTATATAAGTGTATGAATGTATTACTTGTTTTTTGAATAAGTGATAGTGTACTATTGCAGACTGTTTTACACCTTGTTTCTTTTTTAACTTGCTATATGTCTTGGAGACTATTTCTTGCAAAAGGAGCTAACTAGTCATTTTATTGTGTACCATAATTTTTTAATCATTCCCTTATTGATAGGCATTTATCTTTCTAATCTTGGCAAGAATAATCATGTACATACATTATGTCAAACATTATAAATATATCTATAGTATAAACTCTTAGAAATAGAACTGTTGGATCACAAGATATGCATATTTATAATTTTGATAGATAATGCCAAATTGCTTTCATAAAGATCAGGCCAGTTTATAGTCATGCACTGCATGACATTGCCCATTCGGGCAATGTCCAACTGCATGTATGTCTGTGGTCCCATAAGGTTATGATAGAATTCAGAAATCCCCAACAGAGAATGGGACATAGTGGGCATAACCAGAAATAGTGAAGGAAACAGCTTCCCGCATGCAGCACATGTATTTCATGTCTCCTGTATACAGAGCAATTGTGCTGACAAACTTATAATGGTGCAGTACATATATAGTCTGTGTCTTTTTAGTCATAATAAATGCCTATGTTACTGGCTTCTAAATGTACTGTCCTGTGCTTTCTATTGATATTTTCATGTGAAGTTTCCCTATTTACAAATAAAAAGTTTATTGTATAACAATGTATGTTTTGACTCATAGGCAGCAGCATCCAATCTCATGTATCGTGCGTCTCTTGAATATATTAGCATCATTGCTCTGTTTAATTTTTTTTTTTTTAAATACTACCATGAAGTGCATCACGACTCCCAAACACAGCTAAACCAGTGCCAGTGATAGCAGCAGCAAGAGTCAAAGGAGAAGCAGTGGTCTGGAAGTGAAACAAAGATTATTAAACAACGCAAAAGTGGAAAATAAGTGAATGCTATTGCTTGCGATTTAGGCATGCCTGCACAGTATCCAAACCACATAATGTCCTATTTTACAGAACATTTTGTGGATATTAAGTGATGCATAAGGAGCTCTTATGCATACCATAGTGCTCTTATGGTAGTGTAGTGCCTAAGGCACTTGACTGCTAACCAGAAGGCTAGTGGTTCAAACCTACCAGCCACTCCTCAGAAGGAAGCTTGGGCAATCTACTTCCGTAGTGATACTGCCTTGGAAACCCAAGGAGGGGTCGCTGTGAGTTGGATCCAACTTGATGGCAAATAACAACAACAACAAGTGATGCATAACTGTAATCCTTACCACCCAAGTATTATTAGGATGCTTATTTTATCCACAGTGTGGTGGAATTT